GCGACGAGGGTCCTCTTGGTTCTGCATACCTCCCTCCACTAGGTTCTTCACTTGGACGGCCATCCAAGGGGGTTATTGGGTGGACTAGTGAAACGACGCTTTTAGTAATAAGTGCTGGGAAAGAGGGGAGGTGGGAAAAATTCATCATTGGACAGAGGGATGACGGGAAGAGGTATTGCATGAGAGAGGGCTGGAAGAGGTATCTTGGAGGTGGTTGAAATGTGGATGGATATCCCATTTCTGGATTTCTCAACCGACTAATCATAGTCCACTCAACCCAACCCCCCTTTAGGAAAGAAATTGGGTGGGACCTGGTTACACATGCTGGTGGAAACTGGATGATTGTATAGACCTTTTCTTCATGGGGATGGATGTATATGTTGATACTCCGTTTCCAACACAGACTAAATCAAATAGCACCAGTGCCATTAATAGCATCCTCCCGATGTCTTGCACGAATGGATGTGTTTCAAAAATGAGGGGGGAGGGTTTTCTGTCGGGGTAACTGTACTGACACACAATTATTTCCAACCAATAATGGCCTCTTTGCTGGTCTTGCGGGCCTCCAACGGCAGGCAGCGAATGAACATCCTTTCTTCTAGCAGGTTATCACAGAAAAGGAAATATCATATTATATCAATCACGATCTCTTGTGTCTCGGTGGCGTCTTCGATCCTTTGAAAGTGATCGAGACCTGGATCTCTCACGCCTTGAAGACCGCCTTTCCCTTTCCGGCGAATACGACCGATCCTCACGACGTCTCCGGTGGTGATGGTGGTGATGACGATGATGAGGTGGATGGCGATGTTTCTCCCCTTTGTCATAACTATCTTCTGTATGCTTCTTTCGCAGACTCGAACGCTCCAACGCCCTAGCAACTTCCTCCTTTTTCTCCTGTATTAGATATTCCTTCATTGGATCTTCTTCATCATGTTCTTCTATAAGTTTATGTAGCTCCTCCTCCTCCTTCAATAATGGCCTTTGACGTATCCTCCGATCCTCCGTGTCAGTATTACTTTCACCGCGCTTCATAGCCCTTCTTCGCCTTCCCGCTTCACCGTCATCACCTCTCGATTTCTCCTCCCCAGTCTCAGCAGATGCCAAAGCGGCCACATTATCCTCCAGCCCCTCTTCCTCCTTTCTTTTATATCTGACGTGGTCGACTCGTATCATTCTGCCCAAAATCGTTGCTCCACCCAAATTATCCACGGCCAGATCTGTACTTCGTTGGTCCTCATACTTCAAGAATGCGAACCCTTTGCTCTTTCCCGTTTCTTTGTCGCGCACTAGATTGAGATGCACCGGTTCGCCGTATTGCGAGAAAATGGTTAGGATGTCACCTTCGCTGAGATCGTAGGGGAGAGACCCGATGTAGATGTATGCCGTGTCGCGATAGTCTGCATGCCAGGAAGCTTCTGGAGGTCTTGTTTTTGTTAAAAAGAAATATTGATGTTAGCCTGGGGTAAATCTCGTATGTGAATGATACAAAAAGGGAATAAAGAGTCCACATAAATAACTTACACGACGTTTTCAAGCTCTTTTTTGTTCAGGGCTTGGACCTGGCGGATTGCGTTCATTGCGATTGAATAAAGAGGGCTTTTCTGTATTTATTTTAGACAGTTACCGGTCTTCTAGCCACCTCCGCCTTCTGCTTCGTAGAAGATAATTGTGCAGAGTAGGGTTGTAAATGTTGCAATAAATATCGGGTTGATTTCACTTGAGTTGCGGTTTGGCGTTGAAGATGTTGGAAGTGTTGCGGCGAACCAAAAACGCGTGACATCAGCAACAGTGTTGAACCAGGGGGAAATTGAACTTTCAGCTGTTTATTTATTTGCACTAGGAACAAAATACCCATTAAGGTGATATATATACCACTTGCGAATTTGCAGCCTACATATGCTATCTTCCACCAGTTAGGAGAGAAGGATATTTATGCCCACATCGAAAATCCATCGGTCTATTTAACTGTTTCATCTCTCCTACCCATTCGCTTCCGCCGTCACCCAAAAGCTCTTCTTCCCTTACGCGCTGGCTCCGTCGGAGAAAGTCTCACAGCGTATAGTTTTTCGATCCAACGCAGTTTTTTATGGCTTTTTAGAGTGTAGCAGATTTCTATCTTCTCTGCTTGTCTTTCGTGTCTGTGCAGTAGTGGCATGGTGAGGGCAATATGGTGGGAGTTGGACAACGGTCATCTTTCCAGAGTCAGGGGAGTCGGCCAACAAGCAAAGATGGCGTAAAGAAGAACATATGGTCTTCCATGTTGGATGGAGCAGCAAGCGGGAAGCGATTGCCGGAAAAGAATCTCCTGGTTCTGGGTTTGTATTCTCTCCCCCGTCCCCTATTGTTGGTTCGTTGTTTTAGGTATCCGAAATATATCAGCCGTGATTGGATCAATGGATATCGAGAGGCATATACTCTACCAACGGTTTCTTTATTTTTCTGACTCTGTTTGAACATTAGGAGGTACGCCCGATTGCCAGAGAGAGTTTCTGGAGACGTTATCATCAGACGAATCCGATCCTAGGGTGCCATCTGAGCGGCGGAAAGGGAGAGCACCTCTAATTACAAATCAGTTTGCGGTCGGGTATACGTATCAGGATGTGTTAGATGCCGACCAAGAAGGTATTTTTAGGGGTCAATCCGTGTCTTTCCTCTCCCAATTTGATAGGATACTTTACTAACACTTGGTCATAGACATTCTCGCCCGAGTTTCGATCTATCTCCTCTCTGAACCCTCTTCGACCTTTGCACCACTTCTCAAACCGCTCCTCACTCCGAAAACTGTACCAGAGACGCTGATAGTAATCCTGTTGGATTGGGAAAATCCTTGGACGTGGGTTCGACAGCTCCGAGAATGGGTTCGACTATTGCGATCTGTTCTGATATCACTTGATGACGAAACTAAGGTGGTTATGGAAGAAGTTATGACGGAATGGCGAGACCATAAGAGAGGGGGCGATCCGACATCTTCAGCGGGTGCGGGGATGACAAACTCTGGGGGACCGGTTGCAATACCCCTTGGCCCGGGAGAATGGGATGAAGGTTTAGGGATCCCCATGTGTGTGGTCTGTCAAAGAGTACGTGAAATCTCTCATTAGCCAATTCAGGATTATATGTCTTTGCTGACTCTATCGTCTCGATGTTAGGCGGAGAAAATCGAAAAACTGGAGAAAGAGCATGGCTGGCATGAAGAGGAATTTGATTTTATACTACAATTCATGAGAACTATCTTGCTGAAACGTACGTGGTTTATGGACTCTCACTACGCTCCTTATGCTGACCATCCCACTTCCTTCCAGACGGTGCTTCACTCATTTACACGACTCCATTCCTGGCCAACTCGTTACAGAGTCTAATCCACTCTTCGCTGGGAATCCACTCATTACTCAAGAAACAGTCCCTAAAGCATAATGTCATAGACAGAGATAAGATATTAGTCCCTTCAAACTGGGATTCCTGGGGCAAAATCCGAATAATAAGAGAGGGATTTGATATAGAAGGGGTTGGAACAAGTTGGTCTATGGAGATCCAAGATAAACCAAAACAATTCCGCGGAATATCCGAGACCGATGGCAATCCAGATGAAGGAAACAGTAACCACAAGCCAGAGGAAGATGAGATGGAAGACGGCAGTAGTGCCACGCTTATTTACGAACAAACCATCCGGGACCCTAAGCGGGACATCTCCGTGACGCGGAATACGCAGACTGGTGGAGACACGGCGATTGAAGTGGAAACAAGGGATATGCAATCATTTTTAGCTGACCAGCTCGAGGTCCTCGAAAAGCTCAAAGCTGAGGATGCGCAGCGCGATAATCAACTGCGCAAGGGAAGTTTGCTCAAAGATCACGAGAATAATATCCCACTGGATGAGCCGTCTCGTGTTAATGAGCATATTGGGCCTGTTCAGTTCAATATGGGAGGCATTCAGGTAGACGCGGATGATATGTTAAGAAAGTTAAAGGTAAAGAAGAAATAGATGAGAGATATGTTCCGATTGGGTTTTTTTTTTTTTTTTTTTTTTTTTTTTTTTTTTTTTTTGCAGCTTGCTCCATTCCTTGTCCCTGTCCATTGTCCATTTATCCTTTGTTCACACGCTCAGTCATCCTGCGGGCCTGTTGCCTGTTGATTTGCCGAAAACTCCACTAACTAGTATCACAGGAACGAGAAGCTAACCGAACCCCAGCACGCAAAGATACCTTGCCCCAAACCCCCACTATTTCCCCAGGAAGTGGAGCAGGCGACGACAAGATGCAGAACCAGGCCCTTGCGAACTTCTTTGCTGGTCTCGTCAACAAGAAGTCGACAACAAGTCCCCGTCCAGGCCCATCCTCATAACTGATGGGTTTACATTTCAATAATTGGTTCTTATTTAGCTAATCCTTGAGTTCTTCTTTCTCCTTTTCTGTTTATAAACAGCAACGATACAAGACAATTCAAGCCTATTTATGGGGCAATGGGAGCAAATATCAAGCACCATACTATATGCTTGTCTAAGCTTGGCAATGACCCTCCAGATACTCTCAAACTAAGTTTTGAAAGAAATATATTGGCGGTAACTAGCCCTCAGACCGCTCATTTCAGTACTCAATGATGAGGAGCATGTATTTCTAGCTTTTGTTTATTCTCATCCCAGTTCTCCTGTTTCTTTCATTTTTACCCCCATCTTCATATCTCACGAATAACCAATAACTTATACCCCTTGCAATAGTTAAGGACGCTGTCGATTCTATTGAAAGTACTCACCTGTATATTCGGTGTTCCCATATGTAAACAAATCACACTGTAAGAGATATAATCCTGACAAGAACTGAACCTAATAGTGGGTTCGTAACCGGATAAATATGGTTAAGAACAAAAATAGGAATTGTATATACATTAAACAAAATAAATTCGGACAAGAGAGTCGAGGTTATCTAAATAAATATCTCCTTAGAGTAAGAGGTATCTTACACCGTGCTTGACCTTTGCATAGGCAAATATGTGGGTACAAGGTTGAATTAGATATTAGGCCCAGCATCGATATCCACCACAGGCACAACAGTGTCGCTCAGCTTGACGGAATCAGGGTTGCTATCTGCAATACCGGAGTACTTATTAATCCAACCAAGGACTTGCTGATGCCACACCAAGCTGTTCTCCCGTTTGAGTACCCAGTGGTTCTCATCTGGGAAGTTGAGGAAGCGACTGGCGACGCCGCGTTCTTGGAGCACGTTGAAGAGGGCAAGGCCCTCGGAAATGGCAAGGCGGAAGTCATTCTCGTTGTGGATGACCAGTTGCGGGGTGGAGAATTGGAGAATGTTCTCTGACGCTGAGGGATCGAAGCGTTCGTAATTTTTGCGGTTGTTCCAGAGGGTGCCGTTGAACTGTTATTCCCAATGTTAGTCGTGGTTAGATGGAAGTAGTGATAGGTATTAGACATGTTTAGGTTATAAAGAAGAATGGGTTAAGCAAACGTACGTCATGTTCCATGAAAAATAATTCATCAGTGGAGATCTTGTTTTCCGCAACGAAGGAACCGTCATGGGAGACAAGCGCTTTGAATTTGCGACCAAGCGGCTTTCCTTGAATCCAGTTGACCATGAAACCACCATAACTAGCACCGAGGGCAACGCCATTGTCCGTGTCAATATAGTCAAAATTATCACGAATATATTCCCAACCTTTGACAAGATCCTCGTAGGGAGCTCCACCTATAAAGCGATGAATTGTTAGTAGAAGTCGTCTTACGTTGGGGCACCAGCAACACCAGAAGAGGGGTATTCTCCTACCCCAGTCGTTTTGAATTCTATCACAGAATTCGTCTCCAAAGCCTGTGCTGCCAGTTGGGTTAACAGCCACAACGACATAGCCTTGATCGGCGAAAACCTTGGGGTTCCATCTAGTACTCCACGAATCTCCCCACGACCCCTGAGGACCACCATGGATAAGAAAGGAGAGTGGATATTTCTTTTTGATGTTGAAACCTTCCGGCTTCACAATCCAGGCTTGGACCTTTAACCTCAATTAGCAGATGATTAGCAAGCCGAGGGAAAGGATTCAAACCTTGGTCCAGGAACCCTCATAGTAAAATTCGTCAATATCCTCAGGGCCTAATCCCGCCAATTCCGGGTCGTGTTCGTTGGCGGAGAAGAGGACTTTTGGTTTCCCATCAGGAGCGACAATTGCGTAGATGGAATTTGACCAGAGGGTGGAGGTAGTGGTAAGAACGGATGGCGAGTTATTGAGGAAGTGAAACGCGCTTACCATACCGTTGTCCGTGAAGTTTATGGGTACGTAGTCTGTACCTGCGTTGACAGGCAGGGTGAATAGTCTGCTACGAGCGCGATCTTCAGACAAAATATAAAAGTTGGCTCCATCAGGTGTCCATTTGATGGATTCTGGAGATCTGTCCCAGTTGCTGGCGATGCTGACAATCTTTTTATTGCTCAAGGTGGCAACGTAGATAACCCGACGGTCAGATTCATAGTTGTATTCCTCCATTTGGAAATATGCCAGTTTTTTGCTATCCGGGGAGAATACAGGATTGGATGAAGCACCCACGATGCCGTCAGCAGCGACGGAACTATCAGGACCGTTGATGGGAACAGCAGTCGAAGCACCATCGTGAGGAACAACGTAGATGTAACTAGTAGTGTAGTTGGCCTTGGGCAGCTCAGGGGCCTTGCTCATGAAGGCAACAGTCTTGCCGTCTGGTGAAAGGTCATAGTCGGATGAGACTCCAAAAGGTGGGTAGGGAGATTCGGCATATTTTACGGGAGCAACAAGATTCTTGAGTTTCCCGTCGAAAATGTATTTCCCGCCGAATCCTTTCTTCAAGGAGCCAGAGAAAACAGCATTGAATTCTGTGGTCAGCCAAGTGTCCCAGTGGCGAGGCCAGAGACTGTCATAAATACGAGCAGAGCTAAGTTGCTTCGGCGCCAAGGTTGGATTGTAAAGCTTGCCGTCACTTGTCGATTGACCATAGAGCAGAAAGTTGATATCACCATGTTTTGTTTTAACAGCCTTGAGGCCTTGTAATCGGCCACCGAATGAGGCGACTTTATGGCTGCTACATCACAACTGTGAGCAGTTGAATCATTGCCAGTGACCCGTGGAGAGAACCTACCTTCCCTTTCCAAAATTTGTGACATCAGAAGCCCACAACTCAACACCACCTGCAACCTCTGAATTAGTACCATTAATGTAGAGAACGCTGATATCCTTTTCTCCCAGCCAAATGATTTCCGACACATCGGGATCGTTGGTGAGAAGACTGGTCTTTCCTGACTCTAAATCAAGCAAATTCCATTCACTTTTGACCGTCTTGTGCTCTTCGAATGAATATTGGGAGAGAGAGAAAAACGCAAATTTCTACCAGTCGGAGTCAGACAAGGTCAGTTGTAATTATAAGAAATACATTAAGTCAACTTAAAAAATAGAGAGGAATAACAACTTACTCCCGATGGATTTGGGACGGCTTCGCTTCTTCGAGGAGCTGAAATCATTTGCCTATAGACCCCTATTCGTAAGCGCGACTCTTTTTGAAAGTACCACTATTAGATCGATAAGAATATAAGCGTAAAAGCAAGAGAAGCTTACTCAGGTGTCATTGCGACAACCTGTGACATCAGCGCCGCCGCTGCGGACAGCCATGTTAGAATAGTCATGATGGGCGTGGTTTCACTCAATCAGGGTTTGGCACCCAGTCGAGAATAAGCTCAATGTACCAGGATGCGTTCCAAACGCATCGAGAACTGTTCACAGTTTCCCGCGGCATAGGCCGTATATTTATGCCAACGGCGGGGGGCTGCGGAGCTCGCGAAAATATTGGAGAAAAAGTCAGGGATCGCATCAGAGCCTATCGTAATAACTAGCAGTCCCCAGTTTTCTGACCGACTAAGGCTTCCCCTCTCTGGGGTGGGATTCTCCGAGGATCTGATTTTTAGAGGACAAGCTTCCTGGAGCCTTTGATCATGCTCTTGTGCTGAACTGGGGAAGGCTGTACCCGGCTGGAGGAAGCCGCATGAATGCGGATTCTCCGTTATTACTCTTCATTTCCCGCCCGCAACCGCACTCGCGCCTCAACAGGCAACGCACTTACAGGGAGAGACGGGAGGGAGGGCTACCTAGGTAGTTACGGCTGGGAAGATTCTCTGCCACAGCTGCACGGTCACCGTCGACCTGCCCTGTGATAGGCGTGGACCAATGGGATTGTTATCGCAATTATGCATAACGCTGAGAAACACGAGTGGGATAGGGATGAGGTGACATTGATTTCAGTCCTTTTGTCAGGTTTTGCCCCTTGTTGGCCGGCTAGATCGAAGGATCTGCATTTTCTGCAACGGCTCAACGAGCGAACAGAGCTTGTGTTTGACGTTGCAGCAGCTAAGCCCGCACTTGCTCCTCAAGTTTGTTGATTTGTTTCTTAATACTGCTGCTCGACATCGTGCCTGTGGCAACATTATTATGCAATATATAAAAGCAAAAGAATGTTACTCCGGCTTCCGAACGTTCAAGGAGGCCTCGCTGCCGGACTCCATTTGGACAAAATTCTGCAGGTCTTCTCCACCAACAATTAATGCGTCAGCCTTTTAACGACGGAGGATGTGGCGTTACTGAAAAGGCCTCCGATCGACGGAACAATAGTGTGAACCGGGTTAAGTTGGAAAAATATACGTGTTTGTTCAAGAATCCCCGTCAACGCAATGACTGGTATCACAACAGATTCATGTGCTGAGCAACCCGAGATTTGCGGGAAGGGAAACTGACCTTCCAAAGTGGGCAATCTTGCATCGGTCCCTGACAGTCGAATCCATTTTGATAGGCTGTCCTCCAGGGCAACTCTTTTAGTCCATACACCCCCTCATTTATCAAGGCCCATATAAACCGTCTTGGAGGATTTGTTATTTTGGTACTCACTGAGCTCGGCAGTTAAAAAAGCGGATGCATCCTCACCGACGCAAACGATGATACTTTACAATTTCAAGGATGTTCCAGGAGCTCTCCGTGGCTCAATTGTGGCTAGACGGTTTAGTTCTTCCCTGCGTCTTTTAAACTCTAAAGAGAACTGTTAAGAACTCCCCAATTTGGTCCTATGCCGGCAGGCTGTGTTGTCAATGCGCTATGAAGGAGTATGAAACAACCAACAATGGGTTGCAAGCTTTCTATCAGTCCTGGCAATACCCGGAATGCTTGAGGTTCGTTGCTCGTGGAGGGACGATCTGAGTCCTGCATGACCCCCGATTATTTAGCAATCCTGGATTGAAGCGCAAGGAACATGGTCAAGCCAAAGAACTGGAGTCTTGGTAAACTCTGGGATTTATTTCGTTATTTTCTTTGCCTCAACTCCACGAAGAGGGCTGGTGATTCCTTGAAGCCCAGTGGGCAGAAGTCTAACGGGAATCGAACCGGGACCAGGGGGTTTGGGAGCCTCGATATCACGTGCGAGCGTCTTTGCGTCTCGTCTCTCCTCCTAACGTCTTCTCTTCTTCTATAAAACTCCTTTCCAACCAGTTGCTCCTCTATCCATTTCATATTAGGAAATGGGATGCTGCCCAAAAAATTCGGAATCGTGAGATAAGAAATAGAGTGTCCAACAGTCGATTCTCTGTGTGCAGGAACAAGCGTAGTTTGAAACAAGAATCCTTTCTGTTTAACTAGAATGTTGTTCCTCCTTAGGATATTATAAAGGAGATCTTTGGAGGCCGCTATCAAGGATGGTGGTGATGTTGAAGTATTGCACGACCTTGTTTGCTTGTCATCTTTCTCTCTCTTGCATCCACCATGACATCCGAGCTTTCCTAACCCTACACAAAAACTGGACAGTTGCAAAAGACGAGTGCTCACAGCGTCGGATTTTAGTAGCTCTTGAAATTTGAAAATCACGAAACTGCCTTTACTTCTCACGAGAGGTTCTATATAGTTACGCCACGAACTTGATGGAGGCAGCCTGGATTAGGTGAAGCCACATCGAGCTGATAGGGACCCTTGCGAAGCTCCGCAACTCTGTCGCGCAAAAACGTTTACAGAATGCAGCCCTTCTTGATGCGGGGCTTTGTGGTGATGCTAGTTGTGTTTGCTTTTCCGGATTTCGGGATCTGGACCGTGGGATCCCACCCAAGCGCTACGTTAAGAACTGTTGTGTGGTGTATGACTATGTCTAGCCTCTGGGCTTTGTTATAATGCCTGGGCAAGGGTGGTGTCAATTCCAAGAACCATATAAACCCACCTTCATGTGACAGCAGATCTGGTTTCCACAAGATTTACGGACGCAGCGGTTCAGAATGGATATAAGAACCGCCTTTTTCGCATTGCTACTACCACTTTTAGGGTCTCAAAAAGCTTTCCTACTTGGCTGCGACTCTTGACACCACTTCTCACAATAATCGTTGTGTGCACCTGTACATCCTAACCCACACAAAGTCTAGATGTGCTAAACTTGCGGGAGAGCGCACTGGAGGGTTACAGTTTCAAAGAAGGGCGATTCGGATTTCCCCCGACTGTTGCCCTCTGTCAACGGCTAAGGAACCAATTCTGTCCTCAGAAGATCGGCTTATATCCAGTTCACATAAACTGGAACACGATTCGTTACCGTTATTCATTGAAGCACAGTTGCCCCTCTCTCCCGTGCAAGCAACCGGACGGACTCCCTGAAGTTGAGATCGAGAACTTAAGTATGTAGCTCTGATAGCCCTAAGATTTCTCAGCCTCTCTAAACCCAATGCCGGGACCTGCTGAGAGCGGAACTTATCACCAATCGCCGATGTGTCCCTTGTGGTTCTGTATCGAGTACCAAAACGGCTCTGCAGCTTTAGCTCTAGTTGCGGCACTTCGCCTTTGTGAAATCAAACATCCATTCTCTCTTTCCCAGCAAATGCAAGGAATATTTTAAAGGATCATCATTTGGAAACGCGTTGCCGATATTGGACACTGCATCACTTGTGCGAGAGAATTACACGGTTCTTGCAGGGATTTCAGTGTTTCTAGTTCTCAGATTATAATCAAGCAAGCTGGTGAACCCTACCAATTATTGGAATTCTGGAATTCTTATGGTCTTTCCCTAGATACTGCATCCTGCCTATATTAGATGGAAATATGATTTCTTCCACTTCCGGAAAGTCATCTATGAAGCCATTATATATTTCTGAAAAAAACAATGTAAAAAAAAAAAAAAAAGAAAAGAGTGAGCTTCGCAACTCAAGGGAATACCATCTCCTTTTCTAGCAGCGCCTAAATCCTAGGCGTAGCCAATCTTCATCTCGTATATTCGATGCAACAATCTCAAAACCATTTTATGACCACTCCCTCCCACAAATCTAACCCTAACGAGCTGTGGAAATCTACCCTTCACCCAACATTGAGCAGGCATAACCACCACAATAAGTGCTCCATGTCATCTTCTCAATTACTTGCCCAAGTACAGGAAAGCGTGAAATTACAGTGTCATTCTTCAGCAGTCCATTAAAGGGTGCAAATGTTCCCCTTCTCTGCTATCATCGTTCCTGAATCATTAAAAATTGGATGGGTTGAATGTGCTGGAAATTTAGGCCTCGGCAAAAGTTATGCAGTGGGGTACTTGGCTAGCAACGCTCAGGAAATAAAATACTTTAAGTCATGATTATGATATTTAAAGGCTGTTATTCATATAACAAGAGCGCACACATAAATGTTTTAAGAGTCTGGCAAGAAGAAAAGGATATATTTGTAGACAATCGAAAGATCCACGGCGCCATCAACCAACCACTCGGCGAAACCCAACCGGGAGAACGAAGCTCCAGGCATAGTGACATAAAAATGGAGCAGGAGAACGTCATGTCCAGCCTCCCATCCCCTCCCTTCTACTTCGCGGATGGCATCGCCAACCTCCGCGACCTGGGCGGCTACGCAATTTCACCCACCTGCTCCGTACGACGCAATTACCTCTTCCGTTGCGCCACACTCTCCGATACCACGCCCGAAGGCGCAAGTTTCCTCGCCGACAAACTGGGTATAACCACTATCTACGACTTCCGTTCCATTATCGAGTCAGAGCGTTCCCCCTCCGTCGAGATCGCTGGAACAACCCGCCACCATGTTCCCGTGTTCAGGGATCAAGATGCCAGCCCCGAAAGACTTGCACTGCGTTACAAGGATTACGCCTCCTCTGTCGGTCCACAGGGTTTCATGCGCGCATATGCGGAGATATTAAGAGCGGGGTCGGCAAGCGCGTTTCGTGCTGTATTCGAACATATCCGCGACAGATCTGAGGAGCCTCTGCTCTTCCATTGTTCGGCCGGAAAGGACAGGACTGGCGTGTGCGGAGCGCTGATTTTGCGGATTGCGGGCGTTTCTGATGAAGTTATTGGACGTGAGTATGAACTCTCTGAGGCTGGGTTGGGTGAATTGAGACAGTATTTTATCGACAGGTTGCTGGTGCATCCCGCATTTGGTGGGGATAGAGGTAGCGCTGAGAGAATGGTTTCAGCAAAAGCGGCCGCGATGATGGCGACATTAGATTGGATTGATAAGAGGTATAACGGGGCTGAGGGATATTTGAAGACGGAGATGGGATTCAGTGACCAAGATATCAGGGTGATAAGGAAAAATTTGGTCATTTCTGAGAAAGCAATTTTGTGACGAGTGAGGTTTTCTGGGGGGTATGATTAGCTGAAATGAGGATGTGATCCTGGGCTTGCATTTTCATGATGGCCTCTTTGCTTCTTTCCTTTTTCTGTATTTATGTCCAAGAACCACAGGATACCAATATAGATCATAAGCTGAGATTAGCAGTGGTGATCTAGCACCCAGCGTCATCGTGCATTTCTCATTCCTACAACACAGTTGAAAAATCACCAATTCTCCCAAACAACAGCAGAGAGAACTTTCCGCATAATGCCCCAATGGCCAGCAGCGCTCCGAGAGTGCCAACGTAGTATGTCACCCACGTGTCCTTCTGCCAGGATATCTTGTTCACCATCCTCTACTTTTTCAAAAGTCGCGACATCAATTTCAAATTTAGGCATCATGTACATTTCCCTGGACTTGCTTCCCAGGAAGTCGGCTTCGGTGGGGTTTCGAAACACCAAGGGTGAACTCGTCAGTTTGCAGAAGATAACCATGTTGGTAAAATCGCCTGTTCTGGCATTCGCGGGTGGCTCCCCTTCACGGAATATCCTACAATTCGGGAAAACAGACATGATTGTTCGAACAATAAGGCCTGAGGAAGGGAGAGACAAATCTCCAGCGTAATTCTAAATTCAGGTACCTCCTGTGTTAGCGACATTATGTAAGAGTAACAACAGCAACAGAAAGGCAGCGGGGAAAAAGGGAAAACCAACAATCGCAATAACCCCGCCTTCCCTGAGCAGGGAACGAAGGCCTTTCATAAACTCCACCGTAAATAAACTAACTGGTTCCACCCCGCCAGTAAAGACGTCATGCACAATACAATCGAAGCGGGGTACTGGAGTCGCCCGGTTCGCTTCAGCTACAAAGCCAACAGCGTCCTTTATAACTGTTGTAAGGTTTCCTGGGAGACTGAAGTAATCTGCAGCAAGGCGGTACACTGCAGGATCTATCTCAACGACTGTGGTATCGATGCCGTGGCTTACAAGGGCAGTGGGCGTGGTACCAATTCCGAGTCCGCTATTTTGAAATTAGCAAAAGCTACCGCCAGCAGAGGAAACAGGAGGAGCAGGTTCAGTTACATAACAAGAGAATTGGTGCCGGGCCCCCCCTTCCTTGGGCTTCCGTCGTCGGTATTAATCAATCTAACCGCTTCCAACATCGTGAAAATTGCATAGATAGGTTCCCTTACTTCCGGATGTTGTTTGTTGGGCATCTGCATCCATTCTCCGCCCAGGAGACTGTGGTCGCATCTCAACACTCTATATCGCTCCTTTACATTTTCTACGACCGATAGATACCCAGTCAGAGACTCCTCTCGGTGCAGCAGGATGAAATTTTCAGTCTGTAATGTTGAGTTTAAAAGCGCAGTTGTGTGTTCAAGGGGGAAATGCACGTTATACCGACAAGAAAATAGCAGCGACGGCAACGCAAGCGCTAGCCATTTTGATGGAAAAGATATTGCGTAAAGTGAAGCGGTCATAAGTTGAAGAGGGATACGTGCCATCACAGCGTATTTCCCTATATACCTAGGCAACAAAAACCCGATATATTTCTCGAGAGTGCTGAAGAGTATATATGACCCGAAAAAAGGTCCATGATTCCCCAAAGATTCCCCGTATCGCCTCAAATCAGCGCCTTCAAGCAGAGAAGCTACTGAAGACACGGACAAGAGAACTAAAGGGAAATAGGTGAGAGCCTCTGTCAGGAGCGGGCCATATACAGGTCCCAATTGCGAACTCAACTTAAACAGGAAGAACTGGATAGTCTGGATACTAAATGCCAACACCGGCAAAAAGTTCGTAATCTTCGCAGAGAATGCCTTTCTGATTTGGTCTTTGCCGAACCATCCACAGAGCGCAGCCACCATCATCCCTCTGCGGTGGAAGGCTGCTGAAGGGACAGATCCATAAACTGGCGAGAGCGTTAATTGCGATATTGGCGAATAGGCGGCTGTAACCACCAGTAGGAATGCAGCTAGGGCAACTGATTTGATAGTGTCTGTTGAGGAGGCGTCTTCATTTCCAGGCGGGACTGCTGCAGATTGAGCTTTATCCGGTTTGCTCTGGGCAAGCTTTCTGCCCTTAGAGGGTGTCTTTGTTGGCGGCATGACGACGAGTATTTTAGAGCAAACAAATACCAAAAAGCAACCCCGAGTATTTATTTCATTTGGAGGAACGCAAATTAGGATAAATTGAACAGTGGGAACTAAGTCTTGTTGCTGAAATGACCTGTTCTTGACAGTTGATGGCGAATTTACGCGCCTGCGCGTTTTATGGAAATAGTTCCACCTTGTTCAGCCCCATAATCGGACCAAAATGGAGGCAAAAGTAAAATGAGGACTAGAGAGAACGGTATTGTAATAAAGAATATCGAGTTCCAATGTTAGCATGGGAGGAGGAGAGGACTGTTAGAGAGCGCATAAGTAAAGATGATGAGAGCTCTGACGTCGCGAGCCTTAGATTCAACTGATTTCTCCGCGTCGGGTAGTTAGCGAGGAGATATTTAACTCGGCTGAAGCAACACCGGAATGGATTAACAGTGCACGCACTTCTAGGAGTAAATACCTCAGTGTTTCATTCCACTCTCTCAAACATGCCTATACGTCTCAGATTGGTTTTACCTTCTCTTTACTAAATGTTGAGCTCTGAATCCCAAATCCCCTTCTTTGTAGGGACCATGTCGGCGGAATACAGTGAGAGGTAGTCAGAGACACCAAGTTCCAAGGCAAAATATCCTAATATCAAAGCAAGTACATATAATCAGACTCTACCTAGATATCCAAAGAACTGATTTGCTGTCTCACATACATATATAGCTATAAAAATATCCTTCGTGCACTAAAATGCAGGAAGCAAAAGAACTCAACCTTGTGAGAGCAATTCTCGGAATTTCTGCAGGGTTTTGTTATCCGGGTTGTAGCTATAGCCATGGAACAACAGAGCGTTGGATCTATATTCTGCCTCCCCAATGAATTTTATCTATGGGACGTGCAATAAACGAGTGTAAACATTTCTTACTTTTTTTTTTTTTTATTTTCCTGTTCTCGCTTAGTCTGGTCCGCCAAATAGAATCCTTGGAAAGCTACCTTGCAAGATGGGAAAAATCAGCATCACAATAGCAGAGAGCACTGTATGCAAAAATTTGATCTCCAAGGCGAGGTTCCTGTTAAGAAGGGTGCCATGGCGGACGATGGCCTATTTATGCCTCATCCTGCTGGACCGAAAAGGAGAGGGCTCTGATCGAACACAATGGCCAGTGTTTGGCCGCTAGTATAAATTTTATCGTGTCGTCAAAGACGTGCGCAATGATGATGAGCTGAGACCACCAAGGGACCTGGAAATACAGAAGACCGTCCGTTCTGTTGACGCTGGAAAAGTTCACCGGTGGTAAATCACATCCGTATATTCCCGGGTTGAGTTGGAGTGGTATCGACTTGATATTACTCCGTCACAGCTTCTAAGGATATTGGTGTTTGGTTAAGGAACGCGCCCTCTCATCCTGCAACTTCTACTCCCTATATATTTCTTTCTTCCAGAATTCATTCATGATGATACGTTGAGAATGGATATTGATGCTTGTTTTTCTTTCTAATTAGGTTTGGCCGCACTGGACCATTGAACGATCCAGTTAAGGGCCTTAAACGGTCGTAGTTAAAGAACCCCCGTAAGGTCACGTGTTGTCGCCTGTTCCTCCCCAACTCCGCGGGTGAGCCAAAAACTTGCCCGCCACAAACTGATCAACTACCGTCTCAGCTGTTTCCGCAAAATGCTTGCAGGTCGCGGTCTTCTCAGACCTCTGTAATAAACCTACAAGAAATGGATTCGGAATGCAGAACGCAATGCCTCTCTTTCCCATGAACACGGGCTCTTACATGCCATCCAACCACCACAACAAGCGGGCAGAAAACCAGCCTCAACAGCCCCCGCAACTCCAACCCCCTCCCTCAGTGCAGATCAAAAATCGCCGGAAAAGATATCTCGATACGCATCCTGATTACTTCTCTTCAGCTTTAGAACTAGCCGGTTAGCTTGGTCTGCCGTTCTTTTGACTTTCCCGGCTAACAGCGGTGTGAAATAGACCCTCTCCTCTACGACCGCCTCATCAGACGATTCCAGACTGCGACCGAGAGAGAGGAGGAAGGGCGTGCTAAGGGATACTCCGGCGTCCTCGAAGCCGATCTGATGCGATCAGAAGCTAAAATGGAAGCGCTGGCGCATCCTGACCCGAATGCGACCATAACATATGTCCGCGGGCCCAACGGTGAGATTCTAGCAGAGGACCAAGATGAGATCCCAGAAAACAAAGAAGAGGGCGCGGAACGCTGGCGCTGGGAGATGGAGCTACGATTTTTGAGGGGAGCAGACCACGAGTTTGATTACAGCGTCGTTGATCAGAATGAGGAATATGACGACTGGAACGAGGCGCAGGAGCGCTATTTCGATGAAGAGGAACCGGAATTCATTCTTGAAAAGGATGAAGAAGGGGATCGAAAAGAGGAGTTGAAGGGTGAAACGGGCATTCAAGATTTTTAGCATTTTTGATTCTTGCCTTTGGTGCGTTTTTGATTGAGAGTTAAAATGTTGGTCAATGAATGACTCCGTCCATACGGATAGTCATTTCCCTAAAAAGTCCAACATACCAAGGCGGTTTATTGCTAGCAATCAACACATTGATTGTATTTACTTCTGGGAGCCCAACTTCGCTCAACTCTCGGGCAGAATCGTCCCATGCCATGGCATGGCCACTGTCCGGCGCTTCTTAAGGTTACGCCAGCCGAAACAATATCAAATGCGGGGACGACTCAGAGCACACCATCAAAATGCGGGGAAAGGCTATCATTCAGAACTAAAGCAACAGCCAACTTTTGCTCAAATCTGTCGCCTTCCATTTATTTTATCCATTTCAAAACCTTTTACCAAACGCCATTTCCTGTCAAGCTGAAGCCCATTATCTTCCAAATTATTCGGCGCATAACCTCCGTCATGCTGTTTAAACGTGGCCTGGCGAACAACAGCGGAGACGGTGAATATCCAGGGACAGTGGCAAATCCGAAACCCAGCGAAAAGCCGCTTGTCTGTGTGATATACTTCTTCGCATCGCAAATGTCTCGCAACATTCAAGCCGCGATACCCCCGCCAGGCGTGAACTCAACGTCCAGCACCCAAACCGAGCCACGCAAGGTCCATCAACTTGATAACCTCTTATCAAAGGTTCAGCACCATGCACACTTGAGTCCACTGATCACCAAATTCGAGACAATCCCCGTTGAGATGGCACCTCCCGGCCGTCCCCGGGGAACATCTCGCGAAGCCATGCATGACACTCTGCTGCTTGTGAACTTCAAGAGTAAGCAAGCGTGGAGAGAGTGGGTTCAGACGAAAGAATGGCAGGAGTTCATGCAAAGGACTGAAAAGGAGGCTGTTTTTAGACGCTTACCTCATGTCACTTGTGCCAATAGCTTAAAGGGTTTGCGAAACCCGATTGAGGTGTTGATGGCTTAAATCGACGGTTCTAAATTATATGTGGTATGTATGTTGAATGAACCGTTTTCATTGGATGGAAACCATGGGAAATTTCGCGGGGGATACGGAAATGATTACAGAATGATATAAATGATGTGTTCTCCCCTTGCAAATTCCAATAGGACTAAGGCTGCGATTTTATAGTCCCGCGCATTGCGATATCACCTCCCCAAGGAACTGAGCCAGCCACTCTCTCGAGGCTATCCATATGGTCCTGATCCCGAGTTTGCTGCGGGCGAAGGGGAGCCTTGGAAATGCAGAAAATTTCTTATGCATATGTCTGGCACCAAAGCTCTTTTTATATCTGCATGATTGCGGTAAATATTGTGTTGGGTATCTGTGTTTTCGCGCAACCGCAACCGCAACCGCAGTCGCAGTCGCAGTCGCAGTCGCAGTCGCAGTCGCGGTCGCGATCACGGAATTTGGATTTCATTTTTCTTCCTGACCCTTTTTGTACATGGGATGCTTGGAAGGCAGAATAGATGCTTGAATGTGCTCTCCAGCTGAAACAAGAAATACTCATTACCGGCCGTATTGGCAAAGACCCAATGCAGTCTCACATGGTATTTATTTCTTTTAATACATATATGACAGAACAGACATAACTTGAGGCTCCAGGTCGAGACAGCCTTTTAGCATTTTGAGAAATTTGTATTACCCGTGAACCGCCTACCAGATACTTTTATTATTATTATTATTATTATTATTATTACCGCTGAAGTTCACATGTGGATACGTGCAGAATTACTAAAGGCAAGGCTTGGGCCAAACCCAGACAACTGGTGTTCCATCATCAAAATTACCAACGAACAAAATACATGTCTCCTTATGAGCAGACGTTGGACAACCTATTTCAAATTTCACCAATACAGATACTTTTTGCACTTATGGGTATGCAACCGCGCGCAGTTCTGTCATGACCAAATGACCACACCGTAATTACATACGGTGTTGTTGAACATTTCAGAACCAAAATGACCCTTACTTCATATACAATATTACAGATGAAACCGCGTAACCAAGGGAAGAGACAGAACCAAAATGCAGCCGAAAGGCAGAAAGGCAAAGACACCTCCCCGGGCTATTAAACAGGGGGACAGCCATCAAGGGGGGGGGGGGGGGGGGAGGAAAAGCAGGCCTGGGCAAAAGGAACCAACCACCCCTCCCGGCTCTTGGCGTGTTATGATTGACGTGGCTTGGGGGTTGGGGAATCTTTGGGAAATTTCAAAATCCCCCGGTTTGGGGTTTTGGAATGGGTTTTGGGAAAGCTTGAAACCCAAATGGGCTCCGCGCGGTTGTTTTTTGGTGTTCCAAATTTCCCCTCTCTCTTAGAGCCCGCCCCCCGCTTTCCCCCTGCCGCCGGCCCCGGTGGGCCCGCTTGCCCTTGTGGCACAGGGGTAGGGTGGAGTTGTTAATCCCCCATAAACATTTGCCATTAATTTGTCCGCCTGGCCTCCGGGAAAGGCCGCCTCCGCGAAAATTCTCCCGCCCGAAAGGGGGGGGGCACGGAAGAACGAAGGGGGTGTTTGTCCGGCCGGTTTTTCCAAACTTTTTTGGGTCCTACAGGGTGGCAGGGTATTTAATATTCTTGCGCTAGGTGAGACGAAAAAAAAATTTTTTTGTGGGATGTAAGGGTTATATT